GTGTGGTGGGAATGTCGTTCACGTAGATATTGAATAAGGTAGGTCCAAGCAGACTTCCCTGGGGGGACCCCAGCAAGGATTGCCCTACATGTTGAGAGGGTATTTGAGACACGAACGACAAAGTGTCTACCGGTTAGGTAGGATTTAACTATGTTTCTAATGTAACCTGTGAAACCCAGGTTGTGTAGTTCGTAGATGAGTGCGTCCAGCCATACTCGGTCGAAGGCTTTTGCTATGTCTATGAAAAGTCCTCCTGTTACTTTCTTTTTCTGTAGCCCTTCACTGATAAGTTCCCCAACACGGTATAGCTGGTTGACCGTAGAATGTCTGCTTCAGAATCCGAATTGGTGAAGAATGATGATGCTATTCTGTTCCAGATGTTGATTAATCCTGGTTAGTAGTACAGCCTTCTTAATTTTGCTAAGTGACGATAGCAGACTTATTGGGCGGCATGACTCTGGTGAGCTTGCAGACTTTTTGGGTTTCAGAATTGGTGTGATTTGAGGCAGTTTCCAACTTTCCGGGAAATGCTGTCATCTGAGTATAAGGTTGACAACCTTTGTGAAGAACAGTAGGATTTTAACTGGAAATTTCTTGATCATTCTGTTGCTTATGGTGTCATAACCAGGGCTCTTGTTGTTCTTCATCTTTTTAATGTAGGAGCAAATGCCCGATGGCATGACTAGAGTATGTGGTTGTCAGTATGTGGGCTTGGCATATAGTTGTTGTGAAAGTCAGTAATTAACTAATCTGTAATGGGGTCGTGAATGTTGTTAGTGCGAAACTGAGATTCCAGATGCTGTGCTAAAAGTATTTAACAGAACTCCGTTGTCCGAGTTGTACAATAAAGCCGAAACTTGTGTTTGAACTGAAGAACCTAAGAATTAAACTAAGCTAATCTTAACTAAAGAGATACAGCCGAAGCTATCATGATTCTAACGGAGTTGGCCCCTTAAGGCTAACTGACTGCTAAGCTATCAAGGGCCTAAAGTATGGCCGAGCGTAATAATAGCTTAAGAGAGAGTAGCTTAAAAAGGCGGGCACATGCTAACCAGAATCTCTGGTATCTTTCTCCCTCAGACAGTAAAACTTTGCGGTTATATGACGCTCTTCCTCATTAGACGTGATTCTAAAACTATGTTCTGGCCGGAAGTGGTAAGTTGAAGTTAAGAAGTAATAGGAAAGGAAGTTTAACTAGTTTATAAGCTTCTGATATTAATAATCCCTTTGATTTTCCATTGTTATAAAGTATTTGAACTAAGAAATCTTTTGTAGGCTATTTCAACACTAGAATATATTGCATATGCTACATAAAATAACAGTGTTCTTAAATTTCAATAATCAACTAGCATATAGTAATAAAACGTTATAATGCATAAAAGATAGTTTGGGTGATGATAGGCTTTCAACTGATGCAGAAACTGAATGTTAGCTAAGTACTAAATTTACATTATGATAATTATTTGTTAAACAATAATACAACTACTTTAACAGAATGCCAATTAATTATACTATTATAAATTATACTATTATAAAGATAACTTGCAAACAAGCACAAATACTAATAAAGAGTTTCTGAGTATAACATAATATATAGGTAAGAATTATGACAGAAGGAAGTCAATTAAATATGCCTAAGTGCATAATAATGAAGAAAAGTTAGTGAATGAGTATAATGCTATCATTATTGTCACGCTTACTAAACAAACATGGCTGACACTTTTAGCAGCGAGATTGGGATTAATTGGAAAATAATATCCCTTGAAGAATGGTAGTTAGGGCAGAAATAAAAGTAAATGAGAGTACTAAATAAACCTAGCGTGGCTGTCTTTCTCCGAGCAGAATTGAAGCACTGGTATTTTTAAACTGAAAGTCAACAATAACAATTTCTGGACTTGGAATAGATTCCCATGCATTCTTTGGTCTCTTCCATAAACACACTAACAGCAACACCACCACCACGTGATTTGCTGTGGTGGAATATCCTTCGACGGTGCGGCTGTGAAGAAAACGGGCACAAAACTTTGGCGGAATGTGGTTATCACATAACAATTTCAGACGCACCGAATAATGGAATCGTCAAGTTGATGTTAAAAAACTAAAATGCATATCAAAGATTTCTATAGCTATAGTTTCAGCCTCCGAATAAATAACAGTTCAAGGTCGAAGGGTTATAATATGAGACTGCATTGTTTGAAAATAAAAAGCGGGAGCTATACATGCATTTCGTTCAAAAAAAAAAAAAAAAAAAAAAAAAAAAAAAAAAAAAAAAATTTTAGAAGAATAAAGTGGCTAAAAGGAACGTTTTGTATACGGAGCTATTTGATTGATGTACTGCAAACATAAACATTTATTACACATTTTATCAAATTAAAAAAAACAATTATATTACAATAATTACAGTCAAAAGTCGTTAATCCGGACTCGTCGGGACTTCGGCGATTCCGGATTATCGATTTTTCCGGATTATAGATCATCAGTTTAAATCTCGCAAGATGGCATGCAGAAATTCTAAAATTAAAAATATGAAACCGTAATTTATGAAATAAAGAACAATTATGATCTAAAAGGTATCAAAATTTAAACAAAAAAAAAAAAAAAAAAAAAAAAAAAAAAAAGCTTAATATTTGTTTACTTTATTAAACATTTCTCTCAATGTAAGTTATTTAAGTTGCTTCATTTTATGTGATAATACTTTCTCTTTAATTCTATAAAAAGACATAATTTCTTGTTCAGTTACAAAGTTCCGCTGTTCAAGTCCCGTTAATTGCTGTGCCGAGAATACCGACTAACTTGTCAATCGAAATTTTTTCGTTTTCACTAACCTCTTTGTCACATTCTTCATGTCTTTATCCATTTTTTGCAGCAATTCCACTTCTTGTTTGTTGGACATCAAAACATACTTTCGTTTTGTAGATTCTTTGGAAGTTCCAGCATCGGAAATTCTATTTGACATAATCGAAAGTTCAAGTTTACTTTTATAAAATTGCTCTTACAGTCTGCAAAAAATAATAAGCGGGATCCAATTCGAAGATTAAGGAACAATGCAATCATTAACATTAACTGAAATAGATAATTAGATAATTTTAGCTTACACCGTCCATTATACATTAAACGCGCAGGTGAAAACGTATTGTGCAGTTGCGCACACGCATATGCGCAGTAGTCAAGGTCTTACGCGCATGCGTAAAACGCCTGTGCGCATGTGCCAACGCGGCGCATGCGCAGAAAGTTTTTAGCTTTGAGGTCCGGATTATAGATCATTCCGGATTATGGGTGTCCGAATTAACGACTTTTGACTGTATTCATTTTAAATACATTTTCCAGAAATCGATCAAAATAAAAACTGAAATTTTCTGGAAAATCTTGTTTGCAGACAATCTGGCACCCCTCTGCGAGCGACGCCTGGGGCTTCATACACCCCCTTGCCGCCTCCCTTAAGCATTTGCGCAATGCTTATGGAGCCCACAAAATTTTCGTAAATATTTTGGGTTCCTGGGGTTGCAAAAAAATCTCGGGGATAGAAAGGGGTGGCAAAAAAAAGTTTAAGGAGCCCTGATATAAAACCAGCGCTACAAAACAAAAATTAGAGGGGAAAAAACTCAAAAAAAAAAATTTAGGCATATGAATTCAACGTAGAATGTGATCTCCCAACTTATATACACACATCACAACATGTTTTAATACTGGAAAACGCTGTTAATCACAGTTTGAGGAATTATGTTCCACTCCTTTAACAATGCAGTCCTTTAAGGGTATTTACATCTCTAGGATGAGGATGTCCCCGAGCAGCTGCTTTTCCAAGGTAGTGTCATAAATTTGCTATCGGGTTAGTATCAGGAGATTATTCTGTTGGACATGGTATTTGATCAATATCTTAACTTTTAAGGATTATGTTAAGGTGGTTTGCTTGATGTGCACGAGTATTATCTTCCACAAATAAAATGTCAGATTCATATTCACCTCTGAAAAGCCTTGCGTAAGTTTTACACATCTCATCTTGACATGTCCTCCCAGTCATAAATCCGCTGTTGTGCATACATCCATGGATCATTATTCCTTCCTACACCATCAAACCTGCACTACTGAAACAATCCTGTCTGATAATGTTTGAAGGTAGATTTCACATTCCTGACTTCCTCCAGGTGTAAACACGGTTAGAATGTGATGTTCAATTAAATCTCGATTCACCAATAAACAGAACATTAGTCCATTGGTTTTCACTACAATTCTAATGTTCTATGCACCAATTAAAGCGATCCCTCTTAAGTTGTAAAGAGTGTGAAACATATACCCCTGGATTTCTGGTTTAAAGCTTTCTGTATACAGTTTGCCGGGATACAACAAGTACAGTTGCAATTGCCAACTCTGAACTTAGCACTCAGCGGGGGACATCCTATTACGACAGGCAGTTATTGAGAGATAATCGATCTTGAGAAGCAGTTGTCATCCGGTTACGACCTTGTCGAGGCCTCCTTACAATAGTTTCAGGGTACTAAAATTGTTTCCATAACATAGACATTGTCGATCTTTAATTATTCACAATACGAAAACATCGTGGGAGAAAAGAAAGCAAAGAGAAAACATCGCAATTCTAAAACATTGTGGTTGAAAATAAAGCATTGAAACACTTCGTTGTCAAAAATATCGTGGTAAAAAATAAAAGTGCCTACAAATCATCGCGGGACTATAGTTAGTGTCAGTAAATAAGATGTGGATTAAATGAGATGGTTACTGATAGTAAACGAGATAAGTGTCAATGTCGAGGTGAAAGTGAACTTGAATGTTGCAGGCAGATTTTGAGTTAATAATGATAAAAAGTTAATTTTTTGTCATATGCTTTTATATTACGATTTCTTTCTAATAGAAGTCTTCTAATCTTTGGTGAATCTTATCATCTGAAGATATAAATATGTCAGATGCAAATGAATTCAAGTGAATAAATATTATATCTTATTTTAGAGGTAAACCAATTCAAGGAATTAAACAGCATACATTACCTCAGAAGCAACTGAATTATTTCAGGTTGAAGATGTTCGCAGCATTTCAGATATTCTTCAATTGGGGGCTTAAAAACACGTGTGTTATCAGATACGGTAATTGCATTCGGGTTGGCTCCACGTTGTAGAAGAGTTTTGACCAATTCTAGCTGATTTCCAGTTATTTTAGTGAGAGCAAGATGCAGAGCTGTACCACACATATTCGACACTGCATTGATGTCAGCCCCGGAATTTAAAAGAAATTCTAGAATTTCCACACTGCCTTGGACAACAGCAAAATGGAGTGGTGGTGGTTTACATCCAAGAGGAACACACACATCAGCTCCATGCTGGATTAGGAGCTGCACAATTTCAAGGTTTCCCTCCATAACTGCATAATGCAAAGAAGTAAAATCTTCTAAATTTACAGCATTAACATCAGCTCCATAACTGCAAGAAAAATAAACAATTTTATTCACTTGCACTGTAAAAAATTTCAGTTCAATGTTACACCATTTAATGGTTCAATGTAAGAAGGTTACATGGTTTACTTGATTTTACGGTTACCCTACAACTTGGTGAAACCAACGAATTAGTGGAAAGTTTCACCGTTTTTAAAGAATACATTGCAGCCAATCAAAGCAAAGCATTCAGTGCATGCCTGGTCTTTCCACAATTCCACGTCTTTGAGAATTTAACAGCGACTGTTCGCATATGTTAGCGGATAGTCAATGTGGTGTTTGATAATTACAAGGTATGTATATTTTTGGTTTGTTTCCGTTTTGATTTATGTACGCATATTAAAATTTGTATATTAATGAAATGCAAGATATAAAATAGTGTTAAATGCATTTGTAGTAACTTTTTAATAATAATGATTTTGTTGGAGTGAATCATGTTAGCGCATAAGCCTATTTTCACCATTTGGTTATTATTACTGTATTCAATGTAGCTGAATAAAACTCCGAGATTTCTGAACATTCCTAGTAACAACATTGTTTATAACATAATGAGTACTTCTGCATATATTTCATAATGTGTAGTTATGTAAAATACATTATATTGATTCTGTAGAAAACAGAATCCTACAATACACATTCTGTGTTCAAATTGTCCTATGTTATTCTATGTTCGTATGTATAAATAACTAGCTGGAGATGTAAACAGTGATAGAATATAAAATATACCCACTCTTATGACCCTGACCAAAGAATGTCTTAATACATTTATTAAATCATTGTTGAAATATTAAAAAATTATGTGTGTGTATATATGTGTATTTCATGTATGTAGTTACCGATTTTAGATTTAATAGTGGAAAAAGTACTTTACAATCATCAAAAAATTTTATTCCAAATAATATTTTGTAAAATGTGTAATGCAGTCAAAAGTTGTTAAACCGGACCTCAAAGCTACAAACTTTCTGCGAACGTGCGCGTCGACGTACGCGCGTAACACCTTTACGCATGCACATAATACGTTTATGCATGCGTGTTTAATGTATAACGGACGGTATAAGCTATGAATATTTCATTACAATTGATTGCAAATCAATTTCTAACCTTATTTTAAGCTAAAATTATCTAATTATCTATTTCAGTTCATTTTGCAAATTGCATTGTTCCTTAATCTTCGAATTGGATTTGGCTTATTATTTTTTGCAGACTGTTAGAGCAATTTTATAAAAGTAAGTTGGAACTTTCGATTATGTCAAATAGAATTTCCGATGCTGGATCTACAAAGGGAAAGCATGTTTCGATGTCCATAAAACAAAAAGCGGAATTGCTGCAAAAAATGGATAAAGGCTCCTTTGTTTCTCTAACCATTCCGAAATCTGTTTATCAATTTCATGCTGCTCTGTGGGGGGGGGGCATCGCGGTGCGCAATGAACTGGAAGTTGATCTGTCAGCACTATCCTTATCTTCAGGGCAGATGTTTTTATTTTATTCAGCTTATAATTCCTTACTAAATGTAGTATTTCATCTCGTACTCTGTCTTTGATATGATTTAAATCAAATTCCTCGTCATTATAAATATCACGAATACACATCAAATAGTTTTCTGGTTGCAATTTTCTAATTTCGACTATGCGTAATGTATGCTTTACGCATGCGCGCGTTGAAAGAAATGTTTAATAAAGTAAACAAATAAATATTAAGCTTTTTTTTTTTTTTTTTTTTTTGTAAATTTTGATACCCTTTAGATCATAATTGCTCTTTATTTCATAAATTACGGTTTCATATTTTTAATTTTATAAATTCTGCATGCCACCTTACCAGATTTAAACTGATGATCTATAATCCGGAATCGACGAAGTCCCGGCGAGTCCGGATTAAAGACTTTTGACTATATTAAAACTTTATTTTTATCAATTTAACTTTTAAAAAGTGTTCTATAAGAATTCAAATGATAAACAGAAGCCCAAGTAAATTTCTATCAGCATCAGCATTGGAATATAATTGTTGTTCCGGTGTTTGTGAATATGATAAATAAGATACACATAATTTGTCTAAAACATTTAAAAAAACAATTATGATGTGAAAATTTAAATATTGTTGGGAAAAACTAAAATTTATGTTTTAATTTTTCTCTAGATGAAAATCGTGGTGCAGTATCAGTCATCATTGAAAGTGATAGAAATATCAAATTATGACCAGCTTACTATTACTTAACCCGTTGTTGCATCATGTCAACTCTAGTAGACAAAAGTTTAAATTTGTTTATTCTTCTGTAAATGCCTTAACAGATTCCATTCCTGTGTTTATTCATTCTATATTATTATAACTTTCAACTATCAATCATAGATGGCTGTATAGCATCACTAAGTAAAGCATTGTTATTGGAAAATGGCTGCTACTTCTGTTTCGAAGTTAGTAAAATTTCTCATAGTAAACATTATATAATATTGCTTACATTTTCTTATACTGCCATCTTTTATTCATAATTAGTAATTTTAGACATTTTATTTTAAATGTTAGTTTGAGAAAATTGTGGAGTGGATAGATAAAGATCTACTGAAAAGAGTGAATTGAAACCCAAATGTACTGCTTATCAAGCCAAAACACCACTAAAAATGCTTATGTTTGGCAAACAATTTCTAGAACATTTGACATTTGAATCCAATACAGGTTACAAAATCGTAGCAAAATGAATTCAATCACAATCGATGAAATGAAGGTATTTTGAGGGATCTGTATGTACATGTCATTTGTATATTTACCATTGAGAAAGATGCTAATGATCACTGCAAACAAGGTAGGAAATGATTTCAAATGCAATGACCGTAAATCGTTGGGAAGAGATTTGTATGCATGTATGTATATGCATGCTGTCCACTACAGTGAACAAACAAACTGTAGCAATTATTTAAAATGAAATTTGAATAAAATAATTTTTTTTATTATTATTACTAAGGTTATTTTAAGTAGAAAAAATAAAAACACTTTCATTCAACTTCTCTACATTATTTGTATGCAACAAAGGGTTAATATTCAAGTTTTTTTATCTCATGATTTCAAAGAACATGCTCTAATAATTTCACAGAACATGCTGATTATGAAAACTTTCCCTGAGGACCCCAAACAAATTAAAAGTAATCAATTAACTTAAAAAAATTTGGAATATTTTGTTAAAGTAGCAATTTTTTTTATTGTTTTGTGAAAAGCTTTTGTTTATTAAATCTTATTGTTTGATTAAAGCCAGTCTGAAATATTATCTAAATTTTCTTTTTATGAGAAGAATGTTTTGATAAAGATACATCGAATGTTTGTTATTTAGCCATATTGCTAAATATTCTGTTTGAATGCATGCTTATTTGGCCAAACTTTGTATTTAAAATTTTTTTTTCTTTATTTCATATAATAATATATATTGAAATTAAACAGTTCTGTTTATTATGCACACTTATGAATGATGCACCAAGCTACTAAAAATGTCAAAAATTTATAGATTTTGCATCGAACTGCCACAAAAGTGGAATTTAAGGAATTCTGCGCATTTTTCTTTGCCAAACTGGGAGTAAATTTTTGTTTTACGTATCGTATACTGCATCCTCATCTGTGCTTTTTCAGATACAATGTTAATTTGTTGAATTTCTCAAAAACAAGAAATATTTTGTCTAACTGGTAATATTTTTAACAGACAAAATTACAAAAAGTAATGATCTCTTAACCGCTACGATTAATCTTGCAAAATTATGTTTCTTTGTAGTTTGAGAATGTAAATGAATTTATATGATTTTTGATTTTAACAAATAACATTTTGCATGCACAAATTTTGCATGTAAATTTAAGAATTTAATTAATTTCATGCAAAGTAATAACAAGACACATTTTCCCTGGAGTGGTTATGATGTGCTACAAGAATTGTATTTATATCTGTTTAAATCTTCTGCAAAATGAAGTTCGACTGTTAAAAAAGATAAGTGATTATTTCTAACCAATTAAAATATGACCTAAGTGTTATTTCTTCATATACCACGTTGTTAGTAATAAATATATATTAAATGATAGAGTAACTAACATTCAGTTTATTTTTTTATTTTGTATCAACAATTCATAGATATATTAACTTCTTTCATAATTGGAAATCGTAACACAAAGATTTAATTTAAGAACTATTTTTTTAACTGTACAGTATAATTTATTGTTGTCAAGGGCAGCAAATACTGATTTCCAAATATTTATTTTATTACTCCAGACTACTGAAATATTCCATTTTTAAGTTGTTATGTTTTTAAAATATGTTACTACAAAAAGTTGCATTTCTGAAAATTTCCTATTCTACTTTCTTAGCTAACAGTGCTTTTTTCAATCATATCATTAAATCAAGGGTTCCAAGTGTAATCAGTAGTGACCCCCTTGCGAGCGTGGAAATTTTATAGGGAGTCGGTGAAAATCTGGGAATTGACAGCCAAATTTACAGTGGCAGTTAATCATCAAGATTCCATCGATTCCAGAAATGCACATGCATGATAAATTTCAGAATTTAGAGGAGAAGTCATACAAGAGTAATATCCCAAAATAAAAGTTGTTACCGAACCAACATTGCCCTTTTTCCTCTTCTAACCCTAGTATAAGTAGGCTTGAGTCAAGTCAGTAATTTACTATGGGAAACACGAAACAGGTTGAATGTTTCTGATAGAAGTGATTTAAGAATTAAGCACTTTTATGCCAAATGTTAAAAAAATTACATGCATACATTGCATTAATTATTCACAATTCTGTGCAATTAAAATTGAAGTTTTGTGCAGTTAAAATCTGTGATTTTGTTTCTGGAAACTTGTTTATACTTGCAAAATTATAAATAATAAAGCATAAATTCAATAAAAATGTTTTAAAAAATCATTATTCAAAATCTGCTAGGTTATTTTTTTGCAATTGGTTTTATTTTGATTATACTGCATGCAATATATTATAGAGAAAAACGTAAGGTGTTCCATGAAGAAAACC